GCGGCGGCCCTGCTTTGACAGCGGCACAAATTGCACAGCTCTTCACCCACTCGGCAACGTCTCGGGGTAGCTTCGGCCACCAGAACTTCTGCTGTATGGCGGTTTGGGTTTCATCCCGCCCGGGATGAGCGGCGTGTGGCCCGTCGTGGTATTCTTCTAGGAGCCGGCGACGCAGCGTTCTCGGCACATAGAGCAGGAGTTGTTGCGGGGTTCGTTTCCATATACAGTCGTCCACGAGAGCGTATTCTTCTCTGATGCGTCGCTCGTCGGCGTCGGCGGGCTCCTCCCGAGCCAACCTCTGAAGACGGGCTCTGTCTTGCTGGCAGCTGTCGTCTTCACGCTGTGCCGCGGCGATTTCTTCATACAGGGTACTCTCTTGGATTTGGTTAAGTAAGGGATGTTGGTTTTCGTCTTCGGTGGGCTGGTCTTCCTCCATGGCTTGCTCTGGGTTACGTGAAAGATAGTCGGGAAGCTCATTCCGAGTACCGGGCACATGGACGACTTCAAATTGGTACCCTTGTAACATAAGGGCCCACCGGGTTAGTTTGGCTCGTTCGTCTTGGTACTTCTTCAGCCATAGCAGCGAGCGGTTGTCAGTATATAATCGGAAGGGGCCGTCTTGTAGAAACATCCGGTATTTCTTAATCGCCCATACGGCCGCCAGGACCTCCTGTTCGTTAATGTGATACCGTCGTTCTGTGGCGGTGAATTTTGCGGAGGCATAGGCGATAATTCTGCGGCGGTTTTCCTCTTCCTGGAATAGTACTGCAGCCATTCCCAAGCTGCTGGCATCGGTCTGCAGACAGAATGGCTTATTCGGGTCGGGTCGGCTAAGTTCTAATGGCTGGGCCATGGCTTCTTTGATGCGGTCGAACGCCTCCTGCGCGGCTACTCCCCAGACAAACTTTTTCTTCGTGGCTAGCAGGTCAGTCAACGGTGCTGCGAGTTCGGCGAAACGTGGGACGTAATCTCGCAGCCAGTTCGCCGTTCCCATAAACTTGCGGAGCTCTCGGATGGTTCTGGGTGCTTGGAAATCTTGGATGCGCTGTAGGTGTTCCTGCTGCGGCAGGTTCTTGACTTCAGTGATGACATGCCCGAGGTATGTGATTTGGCTAGTGGCAATTTGGCATTTTTCGGCGGAGCAACGTAGACCATGAACAGCGAGTCGTTTCAGTACCTTGGCGAGGTGTTCTTGATGTTCTTCCTGGGTTTCGGAGTACACGACGACGTCATCCAGGTAGAGTTTGACGAATCGGTGCATGTACCCCTCGAGGACGTTGACCATTAATTTTTGAAAGGTTCCTGGAGCCCCTGCCAGGCCGAAGGGCATGACCGTAAATGCTGTATACTTGCGGGATTCTTCAGCCAGGGGCACCTGCCAGTAACCGCTCTTGAGGTCGAGGGTTGTGAACACCTTAGCCGTTTGAACACCTTAGCCGTTTTATTTATTTTTTTTATTTATTTATTTATGATTTTTTTCTATTTATTTATTTTTAAGATTTAGTTCTGGTATTTGATAAGGTTTAGGACAAAGGAACGGATTCAAATTAAACAAGGAATTAAGATTTAACAGGTAAGAACGGTGCGAGACTGCGAATTCTTTTATGTACGTGCGATGTGTAGCGCACGGATGCTAAGATGCAAGTGAGCTGCGGTGGCCGGAACCCCTGTTGTAGACCGAAGGGCTACTATGCAAATGAACGAAACAAAATCGAAAATTGCGTTTTATACCACTTTATATATTTATATGAAGCCTTCAGCCAATCAGAATTCAGTATTTAATTCCTCGCAAAGTCGTGGACCAATCAGAATCAAGCATCGAAACCCTCAGTTTACTTTTGCTGTTTTTGATGACATCTTCTAGAAAGTTCTAGAAAGATGATGAAATCTGATGAAATATTGCAAAGCATGATGTCACGATTGCTAAATACGCAATAGTTTAGGGAAATTCACCCTTAAGGACCTAAAATTTCTAGATAAAAGGGATGGTTTTTCAGGGATGAAATCAGTTTATCGCCGAAGTTCAACAGTTCAATACTAAGTTTACAACCAAGTTCTTCTCAAACAAATTACAAGTTAGTCTTCATCCGCAAGTACGGGAAATAAAGTGAATTAAATCTACGAAAGTGATATTGTGGTGATTGCTCCGAGTTCTTACCTGCNTTTTTTTTACGATGTATAATTAGGAACCCGTCCAGGATTGTGAATTGTGATGTCGACCAGGCCGCTGCGATTTGTCTTCACACAAAGCACTTGAAACAAAAACCGGCCAAGATCCGTGACAAATCCACTCTAAGAGAGAAACAGAATACGCTTGTCCGCTATTTTTTAATTAGGATAAACAATTATAGTTCTAATGTCACAGAAACATGTACTAACAATTAAAATTACAATTTGTTTTCCTTGAAAATAAAACAGAAATGAAAACAATAAAATTAAGGAGTCAAGCAGGCGGTACCTGCATTGAGACTAGCGCGTGTGACGTCACGTTGCGGAACGGGCCACCAGTTAGCGATGAAACACGTTACCTAACCTAACTGATAAATCACATTTATTTGTAAAAATAAATAAGGTATATTATTGTATTTATTAAAACTGTTAAATGTTTTAAACTAAAAGTTTTTTCGGATCCCTGTTTCCGAAGTAGCAATGTCGGTAAATACACACCTGACAGAACACAGATCACAGAATGTGGCGGATTACATGAAAGCCCAACCAATAATTCTTTCGCTCTAGCCTATTCCGCATTGTGACGTCAGAGAGCGTTTGCGCGTTCAAACGAATATTGACACTTCTTTTAGATTTTTTCCATATAACTAATTTTTTGATTTCTGTAAATCTATGTTCCAACGATTTTTTGACGTTTATACAAAATTTCCAGAATTACAGGATTTTAATCTACCTATACATGACGTAAAAAAAATCTACCGGCACCATGTATGGACAGCATGTAGGACGAAACAATCGTTTCTTTCATTAAATGCATTTGTTTTCCTTATCGGTTACTTCTAGAACTGTATTGGAAACGGCAAAATTTATCGGTTTCCTATTTCGCGCAGTCGCGCATATATCGAGATTACGGCTGGTGATTTCTAAATCCAATTTTTTACGCAAGATTACCCAGCGCGGGTTCTAAGTAACAAGATCGGCATGGGTAAGGCCGACTTTCTACTTACTCGAGTGTGAAGTGCAGGAAGGATAAAATCGGATGTCGTAAATTACCTGTAACAAATGAAAAAAGTACGTCAGTTTTTGTTTTTCTTCCGGAAACTTTCAGAAACGCTACCACCCTCTATGTTTAATCTCTACCAATGTTTATTTCAACTGTTTATGTCGTAGGAAGACAAGAGTTAAAT